CCACTCCAGGGCCTTGAAATGCTTCTTACGAAGCCACTCCTTCATTGTCCGGGCGGTGTGTTTGGGATCATTGTCATGCTGAAAGACCCAGCCACGTTTCATCTTCAATGCCCTTGCTGATGGAAGGAGGTTTTCACTCAAAATCTCACGATACATGGCCCCATTCATTCTTTCCTTTACACGGATCAGTCGTCCTGGTCCCTTTGCAGAAAAACAGCCCCAAAGCATGATGTTTCCACCCCCATGCTTCACAGTAGGTATGGTGTTCTTTGGATGCAACTCAGCATTCTTTGTCCTCCAAACACGCCGAGTTGAGTTTTTACCAAAAAGTTCTATTTTGGTTTCATCTGACATGACATTCTCCCAATCCTCTTCTGGATCATCCAAATGCACTCTAGCAAACTTCAGACGGGCCTGGACATGTACTGGATTAAGCAAGGGGACACGTCTGGCACTGCAGGATTTGAGTCCCTGGCGGCGTAGTGTGTTACTGATGGTAGGCTTTGTTACTTTGGTCCCAGCTCTCTGCAGGTCATTCACTAGGTCCCCCTGTGTGGTTCTGGGATTTTTGCTCACCGTTCTTGTGATCATTTTGACCCCACGGGGGAGATCTTGCGTGGAGCCCCAGATCGAGGGAAATTATCTTGTATGTCTTCCATTTCCTAATAATTGCTCCCACAGTTGATTTCTTCAAACCAAGCTGCTTGCAGATTCAGTCTTCCCAGCCTGGTGCAGGTCTACAATTTTGTTTCTGGTGTCCTTTGACAGCTCTTTGGTCTTGGCCATAGTGGAGTTTGGAGTGTGACTGTTTGAGGTTGTGGACAGGTGTCTTTTATACTGATAACAAGTTCAAACAGGTGCCATTAATACAGGTAACGAGTGGAGGACAGAGGAGCCTCTTAAAGAAGTTGTTACAGGTCTGTGAGAGCCAGAAATCTTGCTTGTTTGTAGGTGACCAAATACTTATTTTCCACCATAATTTCCAAATAAATTCATTAAAAATCCTACAATGTGATTTTCTGGATTTTTTTTCTCAATTTGTCTGTCATAGTTGACGTGTACCTATGATGAAAATTACAGGCTTCTCTCATTTTTTTAAGTGGGAGAACTTGCACAATTGGTGGCTGACTAAATACTTTTTTCCCCCACTGTATGCCAGTTAGGCTCTACACCGGTTGTAAAGCGGATTAATGTGATTAATTTTAAGAAGTTATTTGGCCACTTTAGTTGTGATACAAACCTTATCATAACATATAGGCCTATGGGCTAGGCTACATGAGGTGTGCGACTATGATTTGAAAAAGGTGGGGGAAAAAAGGCATGCCTTGTTTCTTTTCTTACCGCACCCTAGCTGGGCATCATTCACAAGTGATAATATATAATTCACTAGTAATAGGCTAATATTGTCACCCATCAGACTATTCTTGATTTAATATTGTCTACATATACTAAATAATGTACATTATATATACAAAAGTATGTGGACATACAGTACCAGTTAAAATTTTGGACACACCTACTCATTCCAGGGTTTTTCTTTATTTTTACTATTTTCTACATTGTAGAATAATAGTGAAGACATCAAAACTATTAAATATGGAATCATGTAGTAACCAAAAAATTTTAAACAAATCAAAATATATTTTATATTTGAGATTCTTCAAAGTAGTCACCCTTTGCCTCGATGACAGCTTTGCACACTCTTGGCGTTCTCTCAACCAGCTTCACCTGGAATACTTTTCCAACAGTCTTGAAGGAGTTCCCACATATGCTGAGCACTTGTTGGCTGCTTTTCCAGTGAAGGGAAATCTTTAACGCTATAGCATACAATGACATTCTAGACGATTCTCTGCTTCCAACTTTGTGGCAACAGTTTGGGGAAGGCCTTTTCCTGTTTCCGCATGACAATGCCCCTGTGTACAAAGCGAGGTCCATACAGAAATTGTTTTTCGAGATCGTGTGTGGAATAACTTTACTGGCCTGCACAGAGCCCTGACCTCGACCCCATCGAACACCTTTGGGATGAATTGAAATGCCGAATGCGAGCCAGGCCTAATCGCCCAACATCCGTGCCCAACCTCACTAATGCTCTTGTGGCTGAATGGAAGCAAGTCCCCGCAGCAATGTTCCAACATCTAGTGGAAAGCCTTCCCAGAAGAGTGGAGGCTGTTATAGCAGCAAAGGGGGGACCAACTCCATATTAATGCCCATGATTTTGGAATGAGATATTCGTAGAGCAGATGTCAACATGCTTTTGGTCATGTAGTGTATGTGTGACATTGGTTTTGATTTAAAATGGACCATTAATCATGCACCTGTCTCGAAACAGGGCAGGGGAAAAAAATACATGTCATCTATGCACTTAAATAGCGAATGGAGGATGCTTTTCCCGTGGTTAATTGTTCATACTCAAAAGCTGAAGAACATACGCACATCCAGATACTTTCAGTAGGTGCTATACTCCTGTTGTAAAGCGAAGCAATGTGCTTAATATTAGGAAAGTTGAGAAATAAATATAGTAGGCCTAGCCTATAGAAAGCTGGTGGGATCCTCCTATTTTTAATAGAGGCCATCATTCTGTTTTCTCACGCAATTGCATAGCCTATAGAAATGTTGTCCAACATGAGCTCATGGGCTCTTATGAAGAGTTTGACTTGATTTTTGATTACATTTGCATTGATGTCAGAGTGATTAGAGGGACAATAGAGTGCTGAGTACCAGGTAGTTAGCAAGTTTGGTAGGCTACTAATGACCATCAGCAGCATCAGCGCTTGGAGAAGCCTAGTTACCGTGACTAAGCGGTCACGTGGAATTTGACTGCGGTCATGACTCGTGACTGCCAGTGTGGCGGTAAAACGGTCACTGTAACAGCCCTAAGGCTTAGTATACTGTATCGCTACCTCGGCCGTAAACAGAAAGTGATATGTGTGATTTACAGAAAGGTTAACAGGCATCAAGGATAGCTATTCAAGCTATGCTGTATATACTGTATGAGTGTGTGGTTTTTCCATCCACTACTGTGATCACAGCAATAAACAGTGAGGGAAAAAAGTATTTGATCCCCTGCTGATTTTGTACGTTAGCACACTGACAAAGAAATGATCAGTCTATAATTTTAATGATAGGTTTCTTTGAACAGTGAGAGACAGAATAACAACAAAAAAATCCAGAATAACGCATGTCAAAAATGTTATAAATTGATTTGCATTTTAATGAGGGAAATAAGTATTTGACCCCCTCTCAATCAGAAAGATTTCTGGCTCCCAGGTGTCTTTTATACAGGTAACGAGCTGAGATTAGGAGCACACTCTTAAAGGGAGTGCTCCTAATCTCAGCTTGTTACCTGTATAAAAGACACCTGTCCACAGAAGCAATCAATCAATCAGATTCCAAACTCTCCACCATGGCCAAGACCAACGAGCTCCCCAAGGATGTCAGGGACAACATTGTAGACCTACACAAGGCTGGAATGGGCTACAAGACCATCGCCAAGCAGCTTGGTGAGAAGGTGACAACAGTTGGTGTGATTATTCGCAAATGGAAGAAACACAAAATAACTGTCAATCTCCCTCGGCCTGGGGCTCCATGCAAGATCTCACCTCGTGGAGTTGCAATGATCATGAGAACGGTGAGGAATCAGCCCAGAACTACACGGGAGGATCTTGTCAATGATCTCAAGGCAGCTGGGACCATAGTCACCAAGAAAACAATTGGTAACACACTACGCCGTGAAGGACTGAAATCCTGCAGCGCCCGCAAGGTCCCCCTGCTCAAGAAAGCACATATACAGGCCTGTCTGAAGTTTGCCAATGAACATCTGAATGATTCAGAGGAGAACTGGGTGAAAGTGTTGTGGTCAGATGAGACTAAAATGGAGCTCTTTGGCATCAACTCAACTCGCCGTGTTTGGAGGAGGAGGAATGCTGCCTATGACTCCAAGAACACCATCCCCACCGTCAAACATGGAGGTGGAAACATTATGCTTTGGGGGTGTTTTTCTGCTAAGGGGACAGGACAACTTCACCGCATCAAATGGACGATGGAGGGGGCCATGTACCATCAAATCTTGGGTGAGAACCTCCTTCCCTCAGCCAGGGCATTGAAAATGGGTCGTGAATCGATATTCCAGCATGACAATGACCCAAAACACACATCCAAGGCAACAAAGGAGTGGCTCAAGAAGAAGCACATTAAGGTCCTGGAGTGGCCTAGCCAGTCTCCAGACCTTAATCCCATAGAAAATCTGTGGAGGGAGCTGAAGGTTCGAGTTGCCAAACGTCAGCCTTGAAACCTTAATGACTTGGAGAAAATCTGCAAAGAGGAGTGGGACAAAATCCCTCCTGAGATGTGTGCAAATCTGGTGGCCAACTACAAGAAACGTCTGACCTCTGTGATTGCCAACAAGGGTTTTTGCCACCAAGTACTAAGTCATGTTTTGCAGAGGGGTCAAATACTTATTTCCCTCATTAAAATGCAAATCAATTAATAACATTTTTGACATGCGTTTTTCTGGATTTTGTTGTTGTTATTCTGTCTCTCACTGTTCAAATAAACCTACCATTAAAATTATAGACTGATCATGTCTTTGTCAGTGGGCAAACGTACAAAATCAGCAGGGGATCAAATACTTTTTTCCCTCACTGTAGTCCAGTGGATGAGAAGAGACCCCAGAGGAAGACAGAATAGAGATGATAGGGAGAGACTTAGATAGATGGACAGACGCATACATAGGTTGACAAACCAATAACTGGTGAACTCGATAGACTAAATCATTGAAGGAAAATTGATTTGTCTAAACACAAATACCCACAGATTAGAACAGAAAAAGACAACATAACCCACAAAAATCTACTTGCCATACATTTCCATCATGGTCCAAAGCCACATTAAAATAAAGTGCAGCAGGAAGCCTAGTCCAAAAGCTTTGTCATCCTAATGCAATGTAGTACCACAGAAATCCACAGTAGTACCAAACGTGTTGCCTGCGAAGTGACGTGTTGATGTGTTCTGTGTCCAGGTATCTTCTTGAGGTGATGGGCGACGGCCTGGCCAGCCAGATCAACAACCCAGAAGTGGACATCGACATCACCAAGCCAGACATGACTATCCGCCAGCAGATCATGCAGCTGAAGATCACGACCAACCGGCTGAGGAACGCCCTCAACGGCAACGACGTGGACTTCCAGGATGCCAGTGAGTGACGGGCGGGGGAGGAGGGCTTAGTGAGGAGGGAGGAAGGGCTGAGAGTGTAGTAAACAGGGTTAGAGTATGGGGTATTGGTTTTGGGGTTTGGGGGTATTGGATATGCAGGTTAGAGTCGGTAGTGTATCAGAAACATATTGAACTGCTTTGTCTCACTAATATCCTAATTTCAATTAACCAATGCCTTTCCCTTGTCTCCAGGTGATGACGTTAGTGGTTCAGGAAGTGGAATGTGTACAGGCGAATCGTGTGCCCGTAGTGGATCTCATGTCATTGTGCCCAAAACAGACAGCACCAGATACTACAATCATCCTGAGAACAAGAAGGTGAAGGGCACAGGAACCCAGACACACCCCTCCATCCGCCTCCTCCTGTTCTCATTGGCCACACTGCTGCTCAGGCGATAATGGACCGGTGGTGCATCCAATTGAGACTGCGTTTTGGAGTACAGCTCTGAGATGGAACGGAAGAGAGAAAAAGGGGGGATGGGTGGGTAACTTTGCCAAATAGGAAAGGATTGTTATTGAATGAATGGACTACCTTTTATTTTTTTATTGTTTTGAGTTTTTTTTATGTGGCAAGTAGAGCTGGTCTTTGGCTTCTTTTTATTGTTTCTATGCTTGGGTGGTGAACAATGATTGTTCACATGCTAGATGCAATGTTTGGACGGCACAAGCTTCTTAGCGATCATGCCATTCTAATGTAAAGTCAATGTGTCCTTGTTGCAATGTTCAAACAACGGCAATAACTTGACAGTGATGTTGTGAGAGACGGTTTGGTGCATATCTTCAGTATGCTAATCCGAAGCATTTCTTTTTCATATCAAATCAAATCAAATGTTATTTGCCACATGCACCCGAATACAACAGGTGTAGACCTTACAGTGAAATACTTACTTACAAGCCCTTAACCAACAATGCAGTTTTAAGAAAAATAAGTGTTAAGTAAAAAAAATGGATAAGTAAAAAATAACAATAACAAACAATTAAAGTGCAGCAGTAAAATAAACAGTAAGGAGGCTATATACAGGGTTGTACCGGTACAGAGTCAATGTGCGGGTGCACAGGTTAGTCGAGGATGCAATATCAATCACAGTGACAGGGAATTCGGATCTCTCAAGTATCTATTAAATCAAAATAATGGTTTCTTGTACTTGTAATATACTTGCATCAATAGCACATTAACACAGCAGCATTGACAAACTTCACTTGAGAGATAGCATCTGTGAGAGCAGTAGAACTATCTAGCTGACCTCTACTGAAGGACTGTAGAAAGGCACTTCTGTCAGACTAGGCCCATAAGCCTCTCGCTGTGCCTGATATTTTCATTTATCCATCCGGTCTTAAAACTTCTGAAAGCCACCATTCTGTTAGCATTCAGGTGATGATGCACAGTTCACTTAGCCAGAAACACACATAGCATTCACACACGCCGAAACAAGCCCAACACACACAGATCTTTTCACAATAAGAATTTCAAGCATAGTGTACCAGTTGTGACATGATGATGGAGACCTTACTTAGTATTGTTCACTCAACACATCCAGCGACCTGTCCCCCACAAAAAAGATGGGTCCACCTTTTTGTACATATTTTCTATGTCTTGTAATATAATGTAATCAATGATCATTAACCCAACCTTAGGGGTCTGAACCTTCCCCACCTGCCATCTGCACAGTTGACAACAGCTGGATGTAGAGTGGGAATGCCTTGACTAAAACGCTGTCACACGTTCTCCAAACATTGCTGGAATGTGAGATTGTAACGAGATTGTAATGTAGGTGCAGTCAGTGATGTAAGTGCATTGTTGGAGCTGGCTCATAGTCCTTCCGTCACACACAGGAGGACCAGTGTCTGTGTGTGTACAGTTACAAGTCTGTCTCAGCAGAGAATAAATCTGATGTAGTGGCAAATTGTGTATGTATGGCTAATGGTGATTAAATGTTCAAATGTTGGGGTTCTAACATCCAGACAGTATGTGGATGTTAGAATGGAGAAGATCTGGTGACACAGTGTCCGTTAATGTAACACAGTGTAGGTGTCAATGTACTGGTGTACGGTATGTAAGTGTGTGAGTGCCTGTCTTTGACTTTGTGTAAAACTGTGTGTTTGACTGACTGTATATAGGCACAGTATGAATGGATGCATGTAAAATGCATGTTTTAAGACTGTGTGAATACAGCGTCTGATTTCACAGGAAAGAAGCATTGAAAACAGAGCTAAAAGAAATGTAAACAATAGACTGAGAGCATGAATACTGCTTTCCAGTCTTGGACACCTTCCCCTAAATTTGCACTGCACCTTGTTTCTCTTTCAACACAGGCCCATGAGACTGCATGTTTCTACCTTCACCTGCTTTTCGTATGGTACCCTGGCACTTTTAGTAGAGATATATTGTGCTCTTAATTTCCCTTACTTTAATTGAGTTGGGAAGCAGAATAACACAACACAGGCCCATTCCCTGTTACCTGCAGGTTCTTATAGCTTTTAATTTAAACTCTGTGTGCTGTAAACCTAACACTGGGCTCCTCAGTGCAGATCCCGGGGCCAACGAACGCTGAGCAATCGATGAGCAGGCCCCCTCTCGAAGCACAGAGAATCAGCACATTGAAAAATCAATGGGTAGAAGCGCCATGTTGAAGTGCTGATTGATTTGGATACAGATACAGGCTGGCTGGCTGATTACCATACAATGTGTGTGCTTGTGTGTTTTGTGTGTGTGTGGTGCAGACCTGGGTTCAAACACGTGTATTTGAGTAATTGTTATTTAAATATTTTTTTCTATGTATTTGAGTATTTTCAAATACACAGCCCAAAATAAGTACTTTTATTTGAGTATTTGAATGGTTATTTGTAAAAAAAAACAAATAGTCTACCAAATAGTATTTGAAAATACTTATTTCAAATACTATTTTCAAATACCTATGTTAAAGGCATGGGAGTGTATTTGAGTCAGTGTATTTGATTATTTTCAAATACTTTCCAAGTGTATTTCCAAATACATTCCAATATTCAACTACTATTTTTTTTTTCAAATAAAGTTTATCTGAATACTTATTTTGAAATGTATTAAAAAGTAATTGAAATACCTAAATAGTATTTGAACCCAGGTTTGGTTTGGTGTGAATGTGTTTTTATGTGTCAGGGTGTGAATGAGTTTGTGTTTGGAATAAATGGATGAAAATAATATTAGGGGCCCCAAGTATTTTGTGAATACGCTTAATTGTCCAACTCTACAGTGGGAGGCATAAGTACAATGTGACAACTTGAAAATGTGTCTAAGTGATACAAAAATTAAATAATTAGCAACAATGCCGAGGTGAAAATGTCGACACGCTGTCGTTGTTTTTCCCCTTGGATTGTGTCAGTTATTATAAACGTGATTACATTTTAAAGATGCCTGACTGAGACTGACTGTTCTTTTTAACTGCTACTTGGGATAATAGTCAAGAGTCAACAGTACTGGGATGCTGTCCGTACAATGATTACACTGTTTGATTGTCATTAGTTTATCCTCCTGCACATGATCATATCTGTCAAATTATCTGGCACACAATTTCAAATGAAATCAAGTCACCACACTCCATGTTTCTATAGAAAATATTGCATCACCAAAGTGCTTTAATATAGCAGAATCTGTCTCCGTGTAGCTGTCAGATGAAGCTGTAGTTCTCTTTCAGGTTTTCAAAGTGGCTCTCAGAGAGTTTCTGGGTCAGGCTGAGCTGGCCCGTCTTGGTTTTGGCACTGGCTCGTAAGTATCGTCTTTGAGCGGCCGGATCCTGAGGGCCCTTGTTGCTTTTGGCCTTCCTCACAGAGCTGTTTGGGTCATTGGGCTTAGTTGCGGACACAAACACAGAGCCATGCTTAGTCCCAATCTCTCTAGCATCTAATGGGTTGTGACTGGCAGACTATCTTATCACATCAGAGAGACTTTCACCTTCTATTCAGTACTTTGAGATAATGTCTTGCAGTGAATATGGTGCCTTAACCTACTATGATCCTACCCTGAATTAACCCTCTTGCCAGCTTCTCCTCGAACCTCTAGGATAATGTACAAGCCATAACAATGCCTTTGCTGCCATCTAGTGACTAAAACTTTTATAGCTTTAAATGTGTCATTTACTGGTCTCAACTCAGTAGCCTACTCCAAGGAGTCACACACTTGTTGTAGTCTAGTAGGCCAGGTTTTCCCAAACTCGCTCCTGCAACCCCCCCCCCCCCCCCCCCCCCCCCCGGGGTGAATGTTTAGTTTTTTGCACTATCACTACACAGCTGATTCAAATAATCAAAGCTTTATAATGAGTTGGTTATTTGAATCAGCTGTGTAGTGCTAGGGCAAAAATCTAAACGTGCTCCCATGGGGGGCCCCAAGACCAAGTTTGGGAAAACCTGGCCTGCTAGACTACAACAAGTGTGTGACCCCCCCCACACTCATCCAAGCCAACTCATCCCAGCCTGACTGTGTGTGATTTTCCAACTAGCTCCTCTCAAGGATTTGCTCCCTATCAGGAGCCTTATATGCCCCCAGCAGCACTTCCAGCTCCTCTCAAGGATGTGCTCCCCTCCCTTCCTCCCTCCCTCCCAATGTGTTCCAGCTCCTCTTGAGGATGTGCTCCCTTCCTTCCTTCCTTCCTTCCTTCCTTCCTTCCTTCCTTCCTTCCTTCCTCCCATCCAGCTAAAATCGGCAGCCTCCCTCCTTCCCATAATCATTGCAGGCTTAGAACGCCATTGTTAAAGCAAATTAACATCTGTTTCTCTTTGTCGGAGAACAAAACGTTCTGGTTCAAAACCCCACAGTCTGTGAGCAATTGAAGGGACCGAATGAATGTAAGAGAACAGAGCACATTTCACATTGTGCCATGAAAAAGGCTAGTTAAGATTTACTCCTCACATATTATAACAGGGTATTCATGTACTAAATGGCTACTGGGGGATGGCTGAGGGTGGGAGAGGGGAAATTCAACATAAATAATTAAGTGGTGAGTGTTAAACACAGCGAGAGAGCTCACTGAACAGTCATGGAGAGTTTGGAGAAAACCCTAGGCCAAGTTTAGAATGATTACATATGGGGACTAGGGGAGGTGGAGAGAAGGAGTAGAGTGGTAACAAACTTATTTCAAACTCCCTCCCACGACGTGCAGCAGCAGCTCTGTGATCTTTGGGCCCTCTGCCCTGGGGAGAGCTGCAGCGAAGTGCAGTGGGTAGAAACCCTTTTGAGATGAGCGGAGATATTTCAATGTAACTTACCACTGGAATAGACCAACCAACCACTATAGCCTTCTGTCACCATTAAGCCATTACAGGAACCACAGTCATAATGAAACATCAACTCTGTGTAGTCAACTAGATCCAGCTAGGAGTAACCCATGTGTTTTGTTAGTGGGGCTAAGAGTGAGAAAGAGGAAAAG